CAATGGTAACAGCTTATATTTTCAAGCACTTTCTAACCATCAGTCACTGTTCTAAGTGTTTTTACATACGTAATCTATTTGAACCTCACAAGAACTCACCTACAAGTATTATTATTATTCTCATTCTATGCATGAGAAATCTGAAGAACAGAGAGTTTAAGTATCTTCCTCCAAACGGACATAGCCAGAGAATGGTGAACCTGAATTCAAACTCAAAATATTTGAGAACCCAAGCTCATAACCACCATGCTCTACAACCCAGCTGACTCCTAAATATCCTGATAATATTGTGACTTTGATTTAATGATGACGAATCCCAATAGTCCAAGAGATTATTTCTCTTTCTGGTCATTTTGAAAACTGCTAATATATTTCAATTTACTGCCCAAACATCTGAAGTTAATGAAAGAGAATGACTTTGAATACACATTCCCTGTAAAGCAATACAAGAAAAAGATTGTTTTTATGCAGTCCACACAGAAACTGATGTGCCCCAGGAGTGTTATTAGTTGCCAGAAGCTGATGAAGGTCTTCCTCAGCCCATCAGAGATACCCACGTTGCTGAAAATGATTCTAGTACTGGAAAGAGACTTCCATGTTCCTATGAATAGAAACATGTGCACTGTTTTCTATGACAAATTAGCACTCAGACTTGCATAAATATAACTTTGAGCATACTAATGTTTTAAGCCAACGTAGGCTGTTCTGATTCTATTGCATTATACGTTGAAGTTCACCACCATTAATAGACAAGCCAAAGATAACCGTTGCCCTGTAGGCAACCCTGGCTGTAGCAAAATGCACAGCCTGCTTTAGAAGGAGCAATTTTTAGTCTACACTCGGCCTGACTGCATATTTTGTTCTCTTTTTTTACAGAAACATGATTTATCTGTACCACTTATCTATTCTCTTTTTTTTTCTAACAACGGAGTCAGAATTTCGAGTTTCAAAAATATTCTGATTTCATTAAAATTCATATTGGTTGGTTTAAGAGATATGGGAAACAAGGACAGAGATGTTTACATATCAAAATACTGGATCATTTTTAGTCAATATAGTTTTTATCAATTAAATGGATACTCCATGGCAATTAGCCAGTATCAGGTAAGTTTATAGCCAATACCAGGTGAGATTCATGTTCCACTCTATCCTCACGTGGCTGAGAAAAGAATCATATTCTACGTAAATCTAGAATACCGTGAGAAAATGTATCTCCCAAGGGCACGAAAAATGTACAAACTTCCTTATTTGCTCTCTGTTAAAAAAAAAAAACCCACTTTGCATTCCTTTATGTTGTATTATAGTCCATCGTTTATGTCTCAAAAACACAAGTGCTCAGCTCTTTTTGGTCCAATAAATTTGTAGATAAAATCCAACGATTTACGGACAAGTAGATTAGATAGATTTTTGATGTATCACTAATTTATAGAACTGATTTTTCATTCATTCATTCATTCATTCATTCATTATTTAGATTGCTCCAGTGCTGGAAGGGACAGCCTGTAATGGCAGTACAGTGTCCTAAGTGTGACCACAGTTACAGAGACCACATGGTCTGAGAACTTGCAGAAGAGAACAACCAGCTAAGTGCTTTAAAAAAGGTCTCCAACTAGGCAAGCACGAAGGGACCAAAAAAAGAACAGAACACAAGGATGGTTGAAACTCTGACCTCATCCAGTTAGATGCTTTCATTCCTAGAAAGTATTGCATCAAGTTCTGCAAACTGATAACGGGTTTGTAGACTGCATGCCATTGACCTTAGATTATTTTTGGTGAAGGTTGTATATATGTCTAGGGACTCAAACCATGTACTAACAGCAGCATCAACAAAATGGGCCTTCTAGGTCTGGCATATTTCAAAACACAATCTAATAAGGGTACATTTGGCAATGGATTCCCTTGCACAGTACTGACAGCTGAATAATCCTGAGGGAAAGTATTCTTTTAAAAACATTTTTTTAATGTTTATTTTTGAGAGACAGAGACAGAATGCAAGTGGGGAAGGAGCAGAGACAGAGGGAGACACAGAATGTGAAGCAGGCTCCAGGCTCTGACCTGTCAGCACAGAGCCTGATGCGGGGCTCGAACTCAGAAACCATGAGATCATGACCTGAGCCGAAGATGGATGCCCAACCAACTGAGCCACCCAGGCGCCCCGAAAGTATTCTTTTTTTAAAATTTTTTTTTAATTTATTATTTCTAGGAGAGAGAAAGAGTAAGCAGGGGAGGGTCAGAGAGAGAGGGAGTCACAGACTGAAACAGGCCCCAGGCTCTGAGCTGGCAGTCAGCACAGAGCCCGACACGGGGCTCGAACCCACGAACCGCGAGATCATGACCTGAGCGAAAGTCGGACGCCTAACCGACTAAGCCTCCCAGGCGACCCGAAAGTATTCTTAATATAGACATCGTAGACCTGTGTATTCCTCACGGCAGGAAATGGTAGTAGAAAGGGTTTGGCCAAATTAAAGCGATATATATTGAGATTATTTTGGCCAACGGAACCAAAGTATCCTGAGGGGAGGTTGCCGTTTTGATAATTCATACAAAGGTGTGCAGGTGACGAGCCGCCCTGTTTTTTGTTACTCTTGCCTCTGTCAGGAAATAGAGAGGAAGTGGATCCCCTCAGCGGCTGATCTTCTCTATCGTGAGCACGCTTCTCCTTGCAGAGCTGGCCCAGATACTAGGCCTGGCACAGATGATAAGAGCCCAAGAAAATCAGAGGAGGAAGTGAGAATAAAGGAGCAGCAAGGAAATTCACAGGATGACTCTTCTCCATCACTTGCTCCTGGTACCCTTCCCCCGCAGGGGGAATTCTAGGATCCAGGACCCCTTTGCCTGAACTTTCAGGGCCTCATTCTTTCACTTCCTTTTGGCACCTCCACCAGCAAATCAGGCAGAACAGCTCAGATAATGAGGTGCTTGGATTCACGCTCCTCAAAACAAGGACTCTTTCTCATTCATTGTTTCAACCTGACGGCCTAGCACAGTCTTGGGCTTAAAGCAGATACTGAAAAAACGGTGGGTGAGCAAGGGGAATGAATACAATTATTAGGTAAGATGCATTTTTTTTGGAATAGCCAGTTGATTGGATTGATTTCCGACTTTGTCGGGATTCATGTTATAAAGCAGGCAACAAGGCAAAACTGGCTTCCACAGGCCAATCAGCTTCTTGGCTCGGCTGTAGTTCTTTCCTCAAGGAATGATGAGAGGTGGCATGTGGCAAGGAGAATTTCATTTGAAGGAACTATCAGGGGATAGCGATTTAGTTAGAAGGGGGAAAAAACCTTAATTCAAAGAAATCAAACAGTAGGGGAGCTGTTATTTATATTTGTAAAATACCATAAAGACAAAAAAAGTGTCAGGAGTCAAATTACAAATAAAAGAAAGTCACCTCTGTGCTAGATAATCTAAAACGTTCCTGAAATAAACAGTAAATGAAGTAACCGTCTTACCTTATTTTTTTTTTATTTTTTTTTTTAATGTTTTTATTTATTTCTAGGAGAGAGAGAGAGACAGCGTGAACAGGGGAGGGTCAGAGAAAGAGGGAGTCACAGACTGAAACAGGCCCCAGGCTCTGAGCTGGCAGTCAGCACAGAGCCCGACACGGGGCTCGAACCCACGAACCGCGAGATCATGACCTGAGCGAAAGTCGGACGCCTAACCGACTAAGCCTCCCAGGCGACCCGAAAGTATTCTTAATATAGACATCGTAGACCTGTGTATTCCTCACGGCAGGAAATGGTAGTAGAAAGGGTTTGGCCAAATTAAAGCGATATATATTGAGATTATTTTGGCCAACGGAACCAAAGTATCCTGAGGGGAGGTTGCCGTTTTGATAATTCATACAAAGGTGTGCAGGTGACGAGCCGCCCTGTTTTTTGTTACTCTTGCCTCTGTCAGGAAATAGAGAGGAAGTGGATCCCCTCAGCGGCTGATCTTCTCTATCGTGAGCACGCTTCTCCTTGCAGAGCTGGCCCAGATACTAGGCCTGGCACAGATGATAAGAGCCCAAGAAAATCAGAGGAGGAAGTGAGAATAAAGGAGCAGCAAGGAAATTCACAGGATGACTCTTCTCCATCACTTGCTCCTGGTACCCTTCCCCCGCAGGGGGAATTCTAGGATCCAGGACCCCTTTGCCTGAACTTTCAGGGCCTCATTCTTTCACTTCCTTTTGGCACCTCCACCAGCAAATCAGGCAGAACAGCTCAGATAATGAGGTGCTTGGATTCACGCTCCTCAAAACAAGGACTCTTTCTCATTCATTGTTTCAACCTGACGGCCTAGCACAGTCTTGGGCTTAAAGCAGATACTGAAAAAACGGTGGGTGAGCAAGGGGAATGAATACAATTATTAGGTAAGATGCATTTTTTTTGGAATAGCCAGTTGATTGGATTGATTTCCGACTTTGTCGGGATTCATGTTATAAAGCAGGCAACAAGGCAAAACTGGCTTCCACAGGCCAATCAGCTTCTTGGCTCGGCTGTAGTTCTTTCCTCAAGGAATGATGAGAGGTGGCATGTGGCAAGGAGAATTTCATTTGAAGGAACTATCAGGGGATAGCGATTTAGTTAGAAGGGGGAAAAAACCTTAATTCAAAGAAATCAAACAGTAGGGGAGCTGTTATTTATATTTGTAAAATACCATAAAGACAAAAAAAGTGTCAGGAGTCAAATTACAAATAAAAGAAAGTCACCTCTGTGCTAGATAATCTAAAACGTTCCTGAAATAAACAGTAAATGAAGTAACCGTCTTACCTTATTTTTTTTTTATTTTTTTTTTTAATGTTTTTATTTATTTCTAGGAGAGAGAGAGAGACAGCGTGAACAGGGGAGGGTCAGAGAAAGAGGGAGTCACAGACTGAAACAGGCTCCAGGCTCTGAGCTGGCAGTCAGCACAGAGCCCGACGCGGGGCTCGAACCCACGAACCGCGAGATCATGACCTAAGCGATAGTCGGACGCTTAACCGACTAAGCCACCCAGGCGCCCCATAACCGCCTTACCTTATAATTATTCATGATTTCAGCTAACCATGGCTTAACAGACTTTACTGTATCTTCTCGCATGTACTTTTCGACTTCGGATCCATCACTAAAAGTCCGGTTTCCCACGTGGATGGCTTGTCTCACGTGTGGAAGGGACAAAAATTTCCCATAGTAATTTTGGTCCTCAGGTTCCTGGTGGAGGGAGACATCAGAAAAATATTGGAGAACGTGACTTGGTGACAGGAATAGCATGCTGAGAAAGCTTCCATTTCTCAGAACATAAACCGTAATGAACAAGAAGAAACATGACTATTCACTTTGGTCTCCACCCTGATATTTTCAATTTGGGGGTTTTGAGGTCATTTCAATGTTACTGACAATAAGACCGGATGATCTGATACCTTTGGAGCCAACACCCAATTTGCAGATGCTCAATCTTCTTTTCTTAGTAAACCAAACTTCTGCAATCTGTGATTCCAATCAACAACCCGAGTGGGGCAGAGACCAGAAAAACGGAAGAGGTGAGATTATCAAAAGCAATTTGCTCCTTGTCAGAGGCCTTTTGGGAGGAAGGTCAAATAGGCCACAGGAGCCACAACTGGGCTTTCTTTTGCATGTTCCGCTGTTTATTAAAACCATACACGGAAAATAATCGGCTAACCATAATTGCAGGGGGGAATATACCAAGTGTAAAACAGATGATACTTTATGAAGGACATTAGACAAAAGAAAAGTTGTCCATGAGCCTTATTTAAAAAAAAATACTGCATAAAGTCTGTGGCATTGAAAGTCTGTGATAGTCATCATACTAAGAGAAAAAAGAGCGTTGTTTTAACAAATGACAAAAGGATAAAAAAACTTAGAATTCAAGATCAGTGATTTTGTGCATCATCAATTTTAGCTAATTTGTTGAATACATTACTTTGTAAGGAAAAAAGAAATGTAATTACAAATTCTGTTTCTCTTTTCTACCATGTGTTTTCCTCTTGGTAGACTTGAAATCCAAAACCACAGGGTTAGCAAATGCTATTGAAATTAGCTTTATATTTTATTTATGAAGTAGTTAATGAGGCAAATTTATTTATTTTATTTTTTAATTTTTTTTAATGTTTATTCATTTTTTGAGAGACAGAGAGAGACAAAGCATGAGCAGGGGAGGGGCAGAGAGAGAGGGAGACACAGAGTCCAAAGCAGGCTCCAAGCTCTGAGCTGTCAGCACAGAGCCTGACACGGGGCTTGAACCTACGAGCAGTGAGACGATGACCTGAGCCGAAGTCAGACGCTTAATCGACTGAGCCACCCAGGCACTCCTAATAAAGCAATCTTAAAAACAAGATGCATTGTCATATATGCTAGACCAAGATTGTACAAATCCAAATCCCCACTTTTTTATCCCAAGGGATAAAATCCCTTGGTTTTATTTGATTAACTCTGCACAAAAGGCATCAACTTTGGCCTGCTTTTATGAAAGAAGACTACTTGAATACTTCGAGAAATATTCCAGAGGGCTCAAAGTGAAGGCCATACTAAGTGCACAAACCTTCTTAAGCTAAAAGAAAGAAAATGCAAATGTTTCCATAAAGGCTTTGGCAATTTTGATGATCCAAGCTGCCTTAAGAACAGAACAAATAATGTGGACATTTTCAAGAAACTCACTATAGGCTTGGGGTTCTGAAACTTAATACCCAGAACTGCAATGCTGACCTATCCTTGACAAAAGAACTTTTGTATCACAAGTTCTGTTGGTGGGAACCCGTGTTAATCAGAGATTGTTCTGAGTTATCAGGAGTATCATACATTCTTGATGGTCAGATTATAACATATACAAACAACATCGGTGGGAGGGAAATCCTACAGATTAGTAGACCAAATAACGCAATACCGTTAGGACATATTTTTCTAGTACAGCGTCAGCTGTAGTATTTCTCAAATTGAAGGAAGTTTGGTGTTACCAAAAGGTTTAAGCAAACACTAGTAAAGTTTGAAAAGTGTTACGTTGCATTACCTTGCACTGTAACAGGTTATAGTAAGTAGGACATCCTGTGACATTCTGGAAATAAGAAGGGTTGTTTGTTAAATCACCATCTAGTAGTTTATCCAGTACCTAGGTCGGGAGAGAGGGAAGAAAGAAAGAAGGAAACCATCAGGTGGGTAAATACATACAGGCATTTGTCATTGCATCAACTGAATAATTTTCTCACTTTGCATTGTTTTGTGTGACAACCTTTTACTGCTCATCTTCTCTGTGCTAGACGCGGTCTGAGGCTTGGGGACGCAGCAGTGTGAAGAAGACAGAGCAAAAGTCCTCTCTAATATAGTTTATATCTTGGAGGGGTACAAGCAAAATACAATATTGCATATACAAATATGCAAGCATTTGTAGGAAAAACATGCAGTAAATTGAGTGCTAAGTGCTAAGGAGAAAACTAAAGAGAAGAAGAGTAGGGACTGCCATGGGGGCGTGTGGGCATACGTGTGTGTGCGAGCGCAAGGGATGCTGAGGAGAGGAGGAAACATCTCACTGAGAAAGGGACATTGAGTAAACACCTGTTGGAAAGGAGTGAACCACGCAGACATCTAGGGAAATAACATTCCAGGCAGAGGAAACAGTGAGCCCACAGGCCCTGACTGTGGGAGCAAGCCTCGTAGGGAAGGACAGCCGTAGCATGGATGGTTGGCCACTAACCCACAGTACGAGGCAATAGGGCAGAGGAGATGGAAACATGCACAGGTGCTTGGAGCTGGCGCAAGTTCTCTCTGGACTCCTGACCTTAGAAACTGGTCATCAGCGAGGTGAGAGCCGCCAGCATGGTTGTGTGCTCTCCTCCAGCCACGTGCAGCTGCACAGAGGCACGCGTGGGGTGACAGAGAGGCACTTGTAGCCAGAATGGTGGTTCAGCCAGAGGAGGTGGACTGCCCTTGAGCTTCATTTGGGTAATTAGAGAAACAGATTTTGAAGCCGTGTTCGGATCAATGGACCAGAAGACAATGGGGTTGCAGGACTGTTGTTTGAGTTCATATATTCAGAAGAGTGAGCTGACACAATGGGAATCTGAGATTGTGGAGTGATTTTCAGAGGGTTTTTTTTCTTTTCTTTTTTTCTTTCTTCTCCTTTTTTTTTTTTTTTTTGTGGTGGACTGAGCAGCTAAGGTAAAGAGGGGAACAAGGTCACAGAAAGACAGAAGGCTAAAGAACCGAGGGGCCAGGAATGAAAAGGGTCATTCATGCAGATACTGTGATTGCTAGAAATCATGACAGGCACAATATCCTTGAGAGAGAAGGACAGTGAGGCAGGAGCTAAAATACTCAGAGAATGAGGAGAGGGCCAGAGGGTAGTAGTTAACTACAAGATGTGGTGGGTGGTGGGTGGTGGGGTGCCTGGGTGGCTCAGTCGGTTAAGCATCAGACTTCAGCTCAGGTTATGATCTCATGGTCTGTGGGTGGGAGCCCCGCATCCGGCTCTATGCTAATAGCTCAGAGCCCGGAGCCTGCTTCAGATTCTGTATCTACCGCTCTCTCTGGGCCTCCCCCCACCTCTCAAAAATAAATAAACATTAAAACAAATTGGTGGATGGTATCATGTGAGGATATGAGAGTCAAAGCTTCAAAGCTTCCAGAAGGACATGATCCGGAGAAAGCACTGAGGAACAAGGACACCCCCTCTTCCTCCTAACCAAGTGCCGTACAGAGTAGGTAAGAGAGAACACAGTCCCTGCATGAGGGAGGAAGCCGCAGCAGCAGAAAAGAAGCAGGTTTTGGGGTAGAGCAAGAAGATGAAAGGAAATGACATAAAAGGGATTGAGAACACTGGCATTTTTTGGCTGAGGAAACTGAGTCTGTAAGGAGCTCTTGTAAAAGGATGAATTCTGCACATGTTCAAAACCAACAATCAAGTGTGATTTTAGGTTTTCTTACAAGGTAAGAATTTCGGATACCAGTATCCTAGGTTTACAGGTAAAGAAACAGGCACACAGAGGGTAAGTCACTTGCCAGCGACGCCTTCCTAATAACGTCAGATGTGAGATTCAAGCCCAGGCCATGCTTCTCCAGCCCACGTGCCCACCCCCCACTCCCCACCCCCTGCTACCTCCCCAAGGGTCACACTGCTGTCTCTCCTAGTTTTCAATTCTTTCTGGCCATGCTTTTGGGTTTAATATAAAATTTTATTATTGTATTGGATCAGTTTTCTTTATCAAACATGAGCAACTTAATTGATCCGAGTTACTATGGCCACAGGCCTAGGGACCACGTCTGAAAAGGATCATCGCTGTGGAAAGGAGAGGAGGTAAAAAAGTATGCTCCAGCAATGCTACGGTGGCTCAGGACCCCTGCCTCTGGCTGTGCAGAGTGTGCACGACATGGGGATGCCTGGTGGATGGGACAGAAGGGCCAGAGAACCAGCCAAAGTTCTGCCTCCCAGGCTGTTATAACCAGGCTTGGGCTGCAATTGGAGAAACAGCCATCTTTATCCTCATACAATGGCGGTACCCGCTTGCCAAACCCTCAATCCACAGGACTGCGTCAGCCCGGAGGAAGATGCCTTTTCCTAAACTGTCCACCCAGAGGGGACACTGTAGGCTAGCAGTAGTCCTGAATGGGTGCAGCCTTTGGGGTATTTGCCTTTGGAAATTATCAACACCAACGGGAAGATAAATTCAACCCTTAAGAATGGATCTGAATTGTCTTTCAGCCATCTTTGAACCCGTGGAGGCCTGCTGGGAACAGGACTCCTGAAACGACAAATATGTCTGGAAGGTTGTGGTCCAAAGCCATTTTTGCTGGCTATAAACGGGGTCTCAGGAACCAGAGGGAGCACACAGCTCTTCTTAAAATTGAAGGTGTTTATGCCCGAGATGAAACTGAGTTCTATCTAGGCAAGAGATGTGCTTATGTGTACAAAGCAAAGAACAACACAGTGACTCCTGGTGGCAAACCGAATAAAACCAGAGTAATCTGGGGAAAAGTAACTCGTGCTCATGGAAACAGTGGCATGGTTCGTGCAAAATTCCGAAGCAACCTTCCTGCTAAAGCCATTGGCCACAGAATCCGTGTGATGCTGTACCCCTCAAGGATTTAAACTAACTGAAAAGTAAATAAATAAAGGTGTAGATTTGTTCTCTTGAAAAAAAAAGAAAAAAAAAAAAGAATGGATCTGAATTCAGAACGAGTCAACAATCATTCGTTATCAAAAAAATAACTAAATTGGGTGGTTAAGACCTGTGAAATCCAGTTTCTGGTCAAAACTTGCTTCACAAAAAGAACTCTGTGATCCAGAACACTGTCATGATAAGGGAGACAGTAAGGACCAGAGATGGGCATTTAACAGAATGTCTAAATGTCCCAGGATTTTTACAGACTACCTGAAAGTTAGCCACAGGAGAAATACTGGAGTGGGAATCTAGGGCCTGGGGGTGGGGAACGACTCTAGGCCTGCCACAATCTAGCAAGTGGCTTTTGCACTTGAATGCCTGCCCTCTGGGGAGGCATGCCTATGTGTGTGTGAAAGGGCAGAGGACAGTCTATAAAGTTCCCTCCAGCTCTGAGTGATTGCTCTTTGATTACCTAAATCATTTTAAGGGATCAGAGCATCTAACAGGTTCTATTATTTAGGCCTTGGTGATTTTGACATTTGTATTCCCTTGGGTCTCAGGATTTCTTGGAGACTTCTACTGCATATGCCGAAACACATTTGACCAGCACTTGCTTACTTTCCCAAGTACCATTTTATCTACTTCCCTTGAAAAAAAAAAAAAACAAAGGTTTTTATGTCCATTCATCACTCCAAATATCGGACCAATGGTCCCAGAGACATGGCATACCTTCAAAGGTTTCAGGTTTTGTTGTTTGGTTTTGTTTGGTTTTGTTTTGCATTGAATTTTGGTGTCTTCTGCGTTTTTTTTTCCTAATGAATCTGATTTGGCAGAGACTCTAACCTTCTAGGGCTTCTTCTCATCACCTCCAAATATGAAGAATAACCTGAACTTGTCAACTGTTTCACTAAGCCTGTGAGTGCTCAGTCTCCTGCATAAGGTAATAAGGATTATCTTTACATCGATAATTCCTGGATGCTTCTTCAAAAACACATCAGATATCTCACTTCCCTAGTGGTCTCCCATGATGTAAAATTGGATATTAACTTTAAATTCTAAAGGCTCAATCCTTTTACCCTTTCTGCCGACTACAACAGATAGCCTAACACTAGACTGAAAATAGTCATCGCAAGTTGAAAGTCAATCCTCATCATCCCCACAAGATCCCTCTTCTTTGCAAGATCCTATAAGATCCCATTTACAACTGCACAGGAGATTCCAAATCTACACTCTGTGGCCATGCCAGGGAGGCCCCTGGCGTCTTGCAGGATGGGCTGGGGCTTCCTGGATTGGCTTTGCACATCTGTTGCAAATACTGTTTGCAAAAATACTGTTGCTGTCATAATTCACGGTGATGGCATTCACTGCCTTGGGGATTTCAGGTAGTGCCATGTGCCCTACTTACAAAATGGAGCATAACTTGGCTACCCCCTTCTCTCCAAGTTTGTATGTCTCCTGTTTTGATCTGAACCGGCTGGCCTGCGGTGCCTAGAAGACTATTAATATCAGGCTTCAGCATTAATAACAATAATGCCATCAGGGGATGGTGCAGGATATGCCCCCAATAACGAAAAGACTGAAGTCCTCAGAATGCAATCCTTGACTCATTTACTAATGTGTGAAACACGATGGCTCTATGGCAAAGGTGGCAGAAAACAAAACAAAACAAAAACCCTTAAAAAATACTGTTGATACACGATCTTTGTCTGCACTGGCAAAATCAAACCAAATCAAACCCAAACCCCGAATATCTTAACATTTAGTATAGTCTCAGATTTAAAATAACTCTCCCCTCAGCAAAAAAGGGTGAGGAATATAACCCTATTAATTTGATCCTCAAATTCAGTTTTAGGGGAGTCATGCTACAATATTTACAAATACCGGTGGCCCTTTGTAAAAGTTTCTGATTTCTATACTTTATACTCTTTGTTCCTGATGCACAGGAACATGTGACATTTGTTACACACTGTGGCCAGTTCTCTGGCTGACACGCTGTGTGTAGATATTACCCTTCTGAAGGGTTTAGAGCATATGTTAAAGCATATGCATCCACTTTCTGGGTCGCCTTTCTTCTGATTTCCTTGTGATAGGGTACGCCTTTAGGGCTACACAGCATTTAAAGAAATCAAAACGGTTAATGAAAGACACAGGTAGAGAAACACTCCAAGGTGATCGCAGGTTTAAAATGCAGCCAAAGTAAACTCAGAGAGACCTGGACAGATCTTGTCTTCATTTCAAGCCCATGCATCTGCCTCCCGATCTCAGACAGCATCTCAGATAGACCTTCTTGAACAACAACAAAATGCCTGAGTGCCATAGGGATTCTAGGGCCTGCTCACATGGTTCTCATTGCTCCAGGGCAACGCGGGCCCCAGAACTCACTTCAAAGGCTTGAAACCACCTCTCGTCCCTGATGTATTTCACGCAGGCATCACACTGCTTCTGGAAGTACTTTCTCTGCTTCTCATCCAACAAGCCAATTTGGTACAGGAATGTTGCATAGCCCCCTATGATCTGAGGAGAAAAGAGAAAAACAAAAGCCACAGGGAGAGAAAGAGAGAAGTTAGGGACCCACTTGCTTGGTGAAATAACCCTTTGTAATTCGCATGCTGAAATGAATCAAGCAAGACAATTACCTACACACACACACACACACACACACACACACACATTCCACAGAACACACAAACACATACACAACACATACAAACATACACAACACATATACCACACACAAGGCACACACATACCACCAGCACACACATGCAACACACACGTGCACAAAATACACACAAACATATCCACACATGTGCGTGCCCAATACTCACACTCACAGCCAATGGAGGCTGACAGAGTGAACTGACCACTTAAAACATTTCCTAAGAATTGGAAGATTTCAATCATTAGAAAGTCAACTGGGCAACATGATTTCTCTCTATAAAGTTAGGTCTCTGGGGTAAGAGGAGCCTCCATTTGACAAAAGGGGATTTAATCTTTTTAGGGACCGAACGGAAAGGCAAAAGGGGACACTTACTGACTCAGGATCAGAATACGCATCGCCAATAGCAACTCCTTTCAGGTTGATCTTCGTTGTCATCATGGGGTTGAGTGTGTGGATATAGTGCGCAATGGCCGGCACGTACTTCCCTGCGTAAGACTGAGAGGGGCAGATGTTAAAATGAACCATCACCATCATGCATTGGTGCTATAAAAATGATGTGTTTATAGGGAGTCTGGGTGGCTCAGTCAGTTAAGCCTCTGACTTCGGCTCAGGTCATGATCTCACGATCATGGGTTCGAGCCCCGCGTTGGGCTCTGTGCTGACAGTTCGGAGCCTGGAGCCTGCTTCAGATTCTGTGTCTCCCTCTCTCTCTGCCCCTCCCCTGCTCAAACTCTATTTCTCTCTCTCTCAAAAATAAATAAACATTAAAAAAAGGTATACACTTATGTGTTTAAGCTAATTAAAATAACAATAAAACAGCAGTCTTTCCGCAAGAGACATACCATGTGTTTTCTTACTGTAAACTGCACAGTAGCATGAAGCTCTGTCTCTCACTTCTTTTGGCTTCCCAAACAGCACCAGTGACAAGCAAGTCATGGGCATGGCACACAAAAAATGACAAGTGGACACATAATAGGTGAATAGTCTAATTTCCTTCCCTAATACAGTAACATGGGCCAATGAATAAAATTCTTCCACCCACCAAGCCTTTCTTACCAGAAAGGTCCATTCAAAACCTTACTAAAAAAGAAGAAAGATCTCAAGGCCAAAATTAAGATTTCAAAATATGTATGATGATGCGGTTTGAAAACAACACATGTTAAAGCAAGAGGGAAAGGAAAGTAATATTTATTGGCTACTGAAATTGTCACTTAACAATTATGTCTGTTTCCAACCTTTCCAGGTACAAAGTTCTTTTTCAATTCTAAAATACTTTGCGGACACAAACATTCTAATTCTGCTTTTAGATTACTCTGATAAAGGCTACTACTCAGTATATTTTAAAATGGTTTTGTATGTTTTACATTAAAGAGCTTCCTTTTGGACATCTCCACTTGCACGTCTAATTATCAGACTTCATTGTCCAAAATGAAGCTCTAATCCCCAGGCCTTCCAACAGCCTCTTTTGTTAATTCTGTTCTAACTGTTTAGGCCAAAAATCTTGATGCCTTTCCTTATTTTTCTCTCTCTCTCTCACCCCACAGAAGTCCATCAGCGAACCTTGTCAATTCTACCTGTTCTGTCAAAATAGGTCCAGGATCCAGTGTTTTCACATACCCACATTTCATCACCTCACTCCAGGTTCACTCATCTTTTACCTGGATGATTGCAGTAGCCTAACTGGCTCCCCACTGTTGTCCTTCCCCTCATCCAGTCTATTTTCAAGATGGTGGTCTACTAACACATAAATCTGACCAGGCCACTCCTATGCTCAAACCCTCTGATGACTTCTCATCACCTTCAGAGTAAAAAGAAAACTGCTTTTTTGGAGGCATAAGGATTGGCCTTATCTGGTCACTTCGTTAACACTATCCTCTGCTACCCTCTTGCTCATTCCTCTCCAGCCTGTCTTAGACCATAATCATGATGGTGACCCGTACTGCCCCCTTCCACCAAGGCCTTTGCATTAGCTGTTCCCTTCTCTGGAATGCTCTTCCCTAAGCGTCCATATGGTTAAATCTCCTACTTCCTTCAGTGGAGCCTTCTAAGGATGCTTTTCCTGGCCACTCCCTCTAAAATTTTAACACCCCCCCTTTTTTTGATATTTTATATTTCTCTTCTCTATGTTTTCATTGAATCCCCTTCACTTTCCTATAAACGTCTACTAATTTATCTTGTGCATTGTTATTCTCCCAGCCACACCAGAACAGAAGATCCATGAACATGAATATCTGTCTGTTTTGTGGGTTAGTATGTCCCCTGTGCCTGATGCTGTTTATCTGTTAGTGCTCAATAAACAGTTGTTGAATGAATGATCTTGAATTAATTTACTTGCATTTGAAAAACACTAATGCCTATATGTTCAAAATAGACTAAAGGCATCATGTGGGTACATATGAGTCTGCAGACCCTTTGTAATATTTTCAAGGCTCTGCAAGGGTCTACAGTTCAAAGGCTGGGGGCCCCCAAGAGCTCTATTAATTCTACACCATAATCATATACTGGAGATGTGATTACTCCCATTTCAATACGAGGGCATTGAGGGTCAGAGATGGTAAGTGATAGAGTCAGAATCAAACCTGCTTTGACCTACTCCCAAATTTACCCTCCTTCCAAGGTATGATAAAATAATTTGTCTAATTTATACAAGATCTCCTCACTGATTCAGCCCTTTTGTGAACAGAAATTATGTAGGCAAAGTATTGACTCAAAACAGTGTATCCATTCATAACCATGAGTGTATTTTAGAGTCCTTGTGGTATAAATGCTGTTTACATGCCTGAAGTGTGGTTTGTTGCCTAATAGTGCTATATTCTCTTGTTAGGAACAATAAGTGAACATTTATCAAATCTAATTTCTGTAAGATGAACAAAAAAAGGCCAATTTCCTTGAGTAATCATTTCAGTGGTAAAGATGTCGTGTATAGGCTCCATTCAGTAATAGTTTATTAGGGAACTCTTCTGTCAAAGGCATCACAGTAGATACTTGAGAAGACACGAAAATGAATAAAACAGAAAACTCGTAAAGATAATACTTTCTTTTGAAAAAATATTACGGAAAACTTGACTCAAATGTAATAGGGTAAAGTCTACTGTTTCGTGGATTATTATTCTCACAAGGTGTACCTTGCCCAGCACATAGTAGGAACATAAAGACATATCTGAGAAATGAATGATTAACCTGTCATTACTGCTGAACATTTTTTCTCTATTGGATCTTATCACTCAAGTTGTCTTGTTATAAGACCTAGCAATAAAACATCGCTTTGACTCTTTCTGAGATGGAAGAGCATGTACTTTAAATGACTCTATTGATGGTGATGACAAATTTAGGCTAAAACAGCCACATTTTTATGGCACCTTCCCCCTCTGTGACCATCATGTGTATCTGGGATATATCCAGGCAGGAAATTAAGAGGGAGTATCCGCTCAATTTCTGAGGATCTACTATGAACAGGCTACCTCCCCCACTTTAATCAGAGCCAACTGAAAGTTAACATTATCTTCCTACATTTAAAATGATGAAAGCAAGGGTCTGTGCATTTCAATCCCGTGCCTGGCTGGAATTCCATCTAGGCTCGGCTGCCTCCACGTCCCCCACCCCTCACATCAAATCACATTTCAATCAAGGGGCTGGGAATAGACTACGAGTCTATGATGTCCCAAGCTGGGGCTCCGTCATGGCTTCATCCACAACATGCTTGCTAAGCGGGCCATTTAAAGAAAGCATGGGTAGTTCTATGACCATGTCCAAAACAGATTCCTCACTGTTCAGTCCACATCTGCTATCTTAACGATGATGTTTATCTCATTTGTGCTTTCTAATGACTATCGCACACGTCCTTGCCCTGTGTCAGTGTGACAAATCTTTCACTGCTGTTTTCATTAATCATTCCATTGGTTGAGTGGCTCAGGCTGTCATACAGTAGACAATTATGGGATTATTTTGTGGAAAACAGACACTGAAACAGTATAATGAAATTTCAATTGTTTTCACTTCTCCTTGTTGAAACTTTTTTTTTTTGCAAGATCAAGCTAGTTTATTCTTCCTGAATCATTTATTTCTCTATTTAACGATTCTCTGACCACCACAGCCCTTTAAAAGACAACCAGACAATGAATCAAATGTTCTACCTGCCCGTTTTTCTCTTTTCTGGATGTATTTTAAATAGAATAGAGGCCTATATGTGGGGGGGGGGAGGGGATTTAGGTGTGGTCGTCTGATGGATTAGAAATGAACTCTATGGCCCTTAGGACTTCCAGTTGCAATCCTGTAATTTTAGGAAGTCTTGTTTCTTTGGTTCTGAGTCCTGCCTAGAACACCGATGAGAACAGCAAGCAGCGCAGCTATTCACCCTGCAGTTTCTCCGGTCTCTTGCTGGTGTTCATCAACGTGGGCAGTGGCTGGCCAGCAAAACTCCTGAAACCTGCGAATCAGCACTAACCTGCTACCAGCAGATCGGACCCTGGCCTCATAAAAGCTCAAAACAGCATCAAAGCGATTATCAAAGAAGAAAAGAGGAACACCGTGGCCACAAACTATCTGAACACGTATGATTTTAGAATTCAGCAGTGACCCCCCGAATGAGGACCTCAGCCGGCCAAATGTATTTTCCTCACACGGTCATTCAAAATAGGTCAGCCATCGACATAACAGGATTTCAGTCCGCCCTTTTTATTCCTTCCTAATATTTAAAGAGGCTTCAAAGCTGCAGTTTCCAGCACTGTTGTGTGGCCTGTGTTTCCCCTGGTGACCATATTTTGAGCTCTGCTCTGACAAGGAGGACCAGAGATATGAGGGTGTGTTTGTCTGTGCTTGTATTCCTGGGGCTTAAAAAAAAAAAAAAAGCAATAAGCCTTCAGTTTTCCTCTTACATCAGACGGGATCTCGGAATTCAGCTCTCAGTCTTGTATTTCCCCCATGAGAGGAAAAGGTCTCAACATGACAGCTGAGCAGTGGTTTTCAATCTCAGTCGGCAATCTTTCTGAGTTCTTAAATGATGTTTGGAACAGCCTAATGGAAATCACGTTAGGGGCACATTGTACTTGTAAAAATAGTCTAGAGAGAATGTAATGCTTGGTTAATTATCCAGATGTGTAAAAGCACAATGAAATAGGGACTTAAACTTGTAATTGGGTATCCGTCTGCAGGCCTCCTTCTGCACTCAAGTTGTCTTACCACAACATTCACAGCGGACTTACTGCAACCCTGTCACTAGGTGACTTTTAAAGGAGGAAAAAAGATTTCGTATCTAAAATCAAGTTTCAATCAGCTCCCCGAGAAGAAAAAGAAATCGTGTCAGAGAATAATACTATAATGGAAACAATGTCCTCTTGCAGAAATTTCACATATGTTAGCAGTTACTATTGTTTAAGCTACTCTACATTTCTCGTCTACATTTCTTACTAAAGTTTAGTTTGGAAAAAAAAATAGATGCAGCTATATTCAGTCTCTGCCTTGCTTCTAGGTATATGTTTTATGTAAAACATGTGGAA